TATTTACATAAGTATATTATATTTATGCTGGCACCAAGCCATTATCACTCCATGGTGAAGCTGAGTTCTACTGTCCTAGCTAATTTTAAGCAGAACAACTTGAAGACAAGCCACAAAACAATAAATGGGATAGACGAATATAACCCACTGCAAAAGCATTGTTGTCACCCAGATCTTTGGAACCTCATTGTCAATTGCCATCATGATACAGCTTGGTATGATTATCACAGACTGGCATGATGAGATTGGCATAACCATATAAGTTAATCATTTATTTCCATCCACCTCATTTACAGATCAAACTTCAAAGTTAATAAGTTTTCAGTGTTTGGAAGCCAGCATGTTGGAGAAAGCCACGAAGTCAAGAATACACACCCTTAGCTTTCATGACTTTCATGCAACCAGCAACACCAAACCCCAAGTTTTTCAATGCACCACCTAAGCAAAAATTGTAGTTTTGAAAACCACACAAGGAAGAGGCAGACAGAAGAAGGAAAAAGGTCGTGGAATATTCCAACATAAAAAAATAAATCTCTAAAACCAATTTTAATTATAATTTTAGAAGGAAACATAGCTTTTAGAGGAACTCAAAAGAACTCTGAATAAAGTGTGTACCGTATGATTCCAGCACATGTAAGAAAACTGAAGTCAGATTTTAACGTGTTAATAGTCCTAAGTAACTCATGTAAATTGTGAGAAATTAAAAAGACGGCTGCTTGTTCTAGCACTGACATTCCATCAGACCTCAGAGAAAAACAGTTCTTTATGCTCTCAGTGCTACATCAACATAGAGACACCATGAAACTCATAAATATTGACCACTTGTGGAGATTCTTACTTAACTGACAGATTTGTGGGGCTGATCTGAACAGGATCCTAAGGATTCATGCCCAGTGAAAAGAAATGTTAAGGAAGGGAAAAAATGGGACAGAAATGGAGCAACAAGCTTTGATGTGAAATTCAGGACCCAGTTACTCACTGCTCCCATGATGAAAAGGTTTGAAGTTGGCTGGTTACCCTGACTTCTGAGGGAGACCAAAGAATCACAAGTGGGGAGAGGGAAGTTGTGAGGTAACTGACTGGCAAAGCACATGTGAGAGATCTTCCTGCTAGTTGAGGACTCGCTCCAGAAGACCCTCCCCCTTTTTTAGGGTTCAGAAAAACTGCTGAAGTAAGTTTGATGTAGAAATTCATACTTAACCTGCAGAATATCACTACTCAGTTATTTTTTCAGAGATTAAGAAGATAGACTGGATTCAAATGAGGAAAGTTATCAGTAACATTAGTTTTGTTTAAATATATAAACACTACTTCAGATACCTTAGCATTTCTTAAATGAAATGAATCAGCAGGTTCTTTGAGAGAATGCTGAACCCACCTAAAAAGGAGAAAAGCTTCCTTGAAATGCTCAAAATAAAAGGTCATTTCCTATTTGTTAGATTTCATATATGCCTGAAATAATGTGAATATTTTGTATTATTTCAGGCCTCAATTTTCTACTGGATACAACAGAAGTGGTTCAAAAGTTGCAGTACACCACTGTCAGAAAGAACCCTTCTGCAAAGACTGTAAAGAGAGTTAATAATTTTGTTAAGCAACAATAAATTGGATGAACTATAACCTGACACCATGTTTTTTTATGTATATATACTAAATAAATAATAGACATTGACAATGCTAACTACAAAGGTCAAGATACACTCTGATGCAATAAAGAGAGGTAATCTGACTCTAATGGAAACTCATTTTGCCCATTTTCTGAGCTGGCTGAAGGGTAAAATGGGCATCCATGATTAGCACAGCACTGGCCACAGGCTGTGATGCTTTTTGAGACACTGAGTTTGGATTCAGCACCATGCTAACAAAAGTACTCATCTTCCATTTTATAGTTGTCTGATTTTTACCCAGTTCCAATCACAGGGGCTAGCATGTATATATCTCCCTAAGTCAAATGTCTTTCCTGTACCTGACAATGCTCCAGTTCACAGTGAGATGCAGTATTTCAATTTTGTCCTTCACAAAAGATGTTAATTCTGGTATTCTAGTATTTATATAGAGACAGGATTTTTTCCTACCAAAACTATGCCTACTTCTTTGCAAATTTTATTTTAGACCTTTTAGGTAAGTCAAGGTGATAAAAAACTGCAGGAAAACATGGGGAAAAAATGCATGTAAAAACTACATAATGAGACCTAAATGGTGGTGTTAAATAGATATTCTGCGGTGCTTCCCTCACCGCCATTAAGAGTAAACAGCCTGAACGCTTCTTTACCCTGCAAGACAGGAATATAAGAGGTAGGAAGAGGAAAGAACAGGTAGCTAGTACAGAAAGAGTGGCAGGCTCTGCTTCTTCCTAGCCTTAGAGGAAAAAAGGCATTTCTATGATGGAAGACCATGGCTTTGAGGAAGGCGAACGACAGCAGCTGGACCAGTGGAAGACAAGAGGACAAGCTGCAGCCTGAAGAGGACACGTGTCCACAACCTTGTCACTCGCAGGTGAACCTTCCCACACAGAACAGGGACATGGCCGTGGGTTCCTGCTCTCTCCCAGCTGCAGCTGCGCTGGCCCACCAGGTCAGTGCTCCACCATGTTCAGCATGACCCCGTGCTGGGGGTACTGCGGCCTCACAGCAACTGTTCATTTAGCAAACAAGATTCTTCATACTCCCCTCTTCCCCACACAGTTTAGGCAAAATGCCCAGGTTTGAAACACCTGCTGTGTAAGAGGAGGTGGCTCACTTCAAAAGAAATGAATTAGGAAACACTCATAAAAGGAGCTCTGTTGGCAGCTCTAACATAACCTCTGCAAATTACTGCCGGAAGAGTCTTCCTGAACTGGAATAGCTGTAGTTGGACCACGAGGTGTTCACAACTACAACAGACTAGCTTGCACCAAACCCCATCTTTCAAAAGACCAAAGGGTCTCGAAAAGTTGATTTTAACTCTAATGCATGGTGAGCTTCCAGCACCCTGTTTTGGCTGCAAGTATGGCACCTTTCCCTACATCACTTGCAACTGTATGAACTGACATTCTTTTTTCTTTTCATCGAGTGAGAAATACTTGAGCTATTCTTCCTCTCCAGTCTGTTAGCCAGATTATGATTTATTTCAAAATGAAGCTGACTGGAGTGAAAAGCCACACTATTCTAGTATTGCTAGCAAAGTTCTAAATTTATAGTTACACTTCAGTAATCTCTTGTTCCAGGCTGCAATCCGCAGATATACAAGATTATGGTAACATGAGACACTGTTAAAATTTGCTAAGTAGGGCAAAACCCCTCACCTGTGTGCTAAGCAAAATCCAATTTGGCGTTCAGGATTTACAGTTACATATTAAAGCTAACAGATAGCAAAGCTGATGCCATCCATGTGAACAGAACAATTATAACCCTAAACTTGTTAAACACAAAAGCTGGGTCAATAGTTTTGCTCAGTTTCAAGCAGCACCAATTAGAGGGGAAGGGGAGTGGGGGAAGAAGCAGCTAAGTCAGGGAAGACTCATGTTCTGCATTATCCTTGAACAGACAAAATCTGGGACCTATGGAAATCAACCACATCAGGTAAATTCACTTAGCTGCACATCTTTTTCTGTTGCAGGAATGGGTTAGATGCACATAGTATTCACTGAATGTGTTGTAATGAAGAAAATTTGTAGAAACTGCTCAGAATTTAAACTACGTATTAAAGAGTGAGCACATGAATACAGAATATCATCCTGATTTTCATAGCTCAGCACTAGACAAGAAGGAAGTGGATAGTTTTCTGAAACAACCTGCAGACATTGAGGAAATCCTCTGCCTCATGCTTATTATGTTGAGCAGAACAGATCTCTACCAAATTATAACAGACAAAGTAGAGATTTGTGTTTGGTTTGTTGGGTAAATAGATTTTCTCCACTTGCATAAAGACTTTCCCACAAGCATGAAGATACAACAGAGAGAGAAAACGTCAAGAAATGTTCTTAGTCTAATTACTGCTTTCACTAGATAGCTGATTCTTACTACAGCCCAAATATGGCAAACAAAATGAATGGATTAGTAATTATTAAGGCGAGCAATAAAGATACTGTCATGATTTGGGGGCAATAGGGAGAGATTCATCAAGCAGTGTGGTCACATTTGGAAATTTGATTAAACTGCGGTAATCTTCTCCTTGAAAAGATCAGTGCATCAGTTGAGCTTTAGTCAGCCACATCATCCTGTAAATTGCTTTCAAGATAAGCCAGTACATAAATTCTCTTTGCAAAGATCTGTTTCTTCAGAGCAGTCCTCCCACAGACAGAAACATGGCATTTAATGGTACCTGGAAAATAGACAGAAATGAAAACTATGAAAAGTTCATGGAGGCAATGGGTAAGTCTTACTTTTCCAATGCCTTCTACAAGAATAATACCACTATGGCTGAGCACAAACTCAAGCTGTTGGTGAACTACCTTCCGGCTAGCCTGTCCTTTTGCTGTTTCCTGCTCTGCCCTTGCATAGTATACTGCATGTATTTTCAAAAGATTCCACGTGGGGGGAGGGGAAGATACTGAGAAATGTTCTGATTTTAATTACATTATGTTAATCTTAAGAAACTTAACTAATTCCAGCAGATTTATTTCAGCAGAGGAAGGAATCTCTAAGTCTACAATTGAGAAAAGGCTCAGAGAATCTGAATGATAAACTTTAAGCAGAATTCTATAGCAGGAATATTATTTTGATAATATGAAACTAGTTTAAAAGCTACACAGGGAGGAAATCATTCTTCAATTTTATAGAAACACATCATTCATGTCATTTTAACATCCTGATACTTAAAGTTTGTACAAACTGTATTTTATATGGATATACACATAGCCATTCCAGTTGGATACTGGTTTGTATTATATCTGTACTGCTGAATATGGCCTCAATAAAAGTGAAGAAGAATAAAATTTCAGGTCAGAATGCTGGAATAAACTCACCTGACCACATAAAAGTTCACTAAAAAGAGACAAATATGATGCTCTAAGGTTTTTTTTTTTTCTCTGATTGATGTTAATTGATTTTTCTAGGTATTAACGTGATGAAAAGGAAGTTGGGAGCCCATGATAATCTGAAGATCACTATTCAACAAGATGGAAACAAATTTACTGTCAAAGAATCAAGCAACTTCCGTACCATAGATATTGAATTCACTCTGGGAGTCAATTTTGAGTACAGTCTGGCTGATGGGACTGAACTTACTGTAAGAGACTTTCTATATAATTACATATTTATTATATGATAATAACTTTATGAGGTACAGTTTCAAGATAAATGATTTGTCTTCCTAGTTTTTAATTTAAATTTTACTTTTAAAGTCTGCTCAGGAATGCTTGCAGCTGATACACAAAAACACAAGGTAGTCTTAACTGTTAATGGTTCAACACTGTCCTGTGAAACTCAGGGTTCCACAGAGTGCCCAAAAAGCAGAATATGTAGCAATTTTCACACGATGAAATCCAGGTGATTGCAATTTTACTTCTTATAATACTCAAGTACACCACCTAGAGTGCAGAGTGGGTATTTATAAGAAATTACTTTGTTGATACAATTAATTAAAATAAGGTGTACTGAGCACTAAAAAAATCTAGCTTGGCTATTAAGCAATTAAATAAATCAGTGGTTTTATTAAAACTTCATTTTTACAGCCTTTCCATCAATGTCCAAAAAGCATTATTACACTGTTTTAATCTCTTCTCACTTGTAAGCTTTCCTGCAGTCTTTAAGTCAAATCTGTGTCATATCTATTGCAAAATATTTGGGGTTTTTTTCCCCATTATAGGGTTCCTGGAACATGGAAGGAACTAAACTTGTAGGAGCATTTACTAGAAAAGATAATGGAAAAGCACTCACAGCATACAGAGAAATCGTAGGTGATGAACTTGTTCAGGTGAGTTAAGCAGTCACTTACATACAGCTTTACAATATAGTGAACTGAAAAACTTTAAAAGCTGTTCTGAAAGTAGGAAATATTTTCTTCAAGCCAAATCTTCATTTGTCTTTAGTTAAAATTCTCCAGTCAAGTAATCTATCAAAATTTAAAACTTTAAAATAAAACTCAAACTGTATCTTATCAATGCATGCTGAAGCCTGTGAATACAAGCTGTAGAGAAATATATAGAGAGATATAGATGGATATCTGTATACACACACTATATAGATGTGTTCTGACTGAAGGCCCTTTTCTGAGTGTCTGCCTTGTAAAAGCCTTACCACAGGAGCTTACTACAGGGTAATGCTGTCAATGGCTGATAAATGCCCTTTTAAAACAAAGTCTGGGGTTGGGGCAGGGGATGATGGTACAGAGGGATAAGTTTGAGACAAAAGGGAAATGTTTCACAGGTCTGCAGTAAAGCCAGAAACTGAACTGAACTGTAATGCTTTAAGATCCTCTCTGCTAGCGGGTCACAAGCTTCTTAAAAGAAATAAAAAACCAAAAATCAACCTTACGGGCAGGTGTGAGATTTGAGATACCACAAACATACAGTCCAACCCTTCAGTGCTTCTCCACGCTTCTGCTTAATAAAAGCAGTCACACAGATGAAACTTGTTAAGTAGTGGTATTGGGAATATGGCGCTTCAATACTTTGGTTTTTTTCTGAAGCGCCCAAAAGCTGTCCTGTGGTGGTTCAAACGTTTGCATAGAGAATTTATGCCTATTGACAACAGGCTGCTTGCTTTCTTTATCTTCCTTTCCTCAGAGCCTGCACAAGGGCTGGTAGGCCCCACATGGCCACCAGGCACAATTAATTGACCATCTCTCAATAGCATCTGTGAAATGAAACTTTGTAATGGCAGCCACTGATTTTTCTTCTTAATTTCTTAACAGACCTACATATATGAAGGAGTTGAAGCCAAGAGATTCTTCAAAAGGGGCTAAACACTCCACCCAGAACAGCACCGGAATCAAAAACCAATGAAAAAAGACCATTTTTCTACATATTGTCTGCTTGTTTTTCCCTTTTATACCCTCACAGCACCTCCTAAGCTGCAATTATTTAGCCCTGTTGAAAACACAGACTAGTTCCTTGTTTACTGTTTTGCCTTGAATAAACAAAATCCAATTACAATTTGATACAAATGTTAAAATGTTATTTGTACCAAGTCCTACCTGAGTGCCATACTGTAAAAGGCTGCAAAAACTATTTTCTAAAAGCAGAACTTAAAACATTTTTTTGTTCTCAAATAGCAACTTAGTTTCCTTACACTAATATTTATATTGATAAACAGTTTCTCTGTCTATTGAATATTGCTTAATAAGGATGGCAAAGCCTAAAAGAAACCTGACAACATCCACATCTCTAAGACTATTTTGTGTAAATATAAATATGGAATAAACATAAAATACAGTGTGATAAGTCCTCCAAGTCAGCTTGGAGGACTTCAATGATATCCCATGGATACCTCGCTCATATCAATAGGAATAATATGAAGCATGTACTGATGATACACAGATATCTCACATAAAGTAATTTCATTATATTTGTTTCTAATGTTTCATGACCATGCTTTTAAACATGCAGATTTTGAGTTGTTCCAAATTATTAGGGGTTCGAATCATTCTGCATCAGGAAGAGTATTAGCAGGCTATCAGTGAGTTTCTCTCACGACATGAATAAAAATATTGACGGTATCTTAACAAGATAAAGAATGATTTCAGACTACCTTGACTTCAAACACCGGTGTTTCTGATGGGTGTCAGCACCAGCTAAGATCTGCTGTGTCCCTCTCACTATGCCTCTTGGTGGTCATCTAGTCCTGTCCCCATGTCTACAGGGCAGCCTGCTTCCCAGCCCTGGACCCTTTCTGACACATCAGCGGAACAAACCTGTGTGCTGCTGGCACTCTTGTCCTTCAACAAATATGCCCCAAGCTCTTTTTTTGGCTTCTGAGCTTTTCGCACCCATGCTTCTACTGCCAGAGTTAGAAAAAGACCGATTCATGTAAGGCTTTGCTAAAAGGTCACACCACCATGTGGGCCTGAGGACAGCCCTGAGGTCTAACCCAAAATATGAATAGAGCCGTATCTCTAAAATCTCACAGCACTTCATCACAGAATTCCCTGATGATGGTAAACAGCTAGATAATCTTCTGCCGTGTGCTTATTCACATGCTGTTACAGGTCCAATTTCAAATATAATTTCTGGGCGGGAACATTTACATTATGATTTTAATGGTTTTTTAAAGTACCTCGCAAAATTTACTCCCCTCTTTTCTTGGCTCTCCTCGATTGTCTTTTTGCTGGTGGTAAACTAATAAAAAAGAAACCCTTTTTTTCTTTCAGTTATTTTTATAACCAGATGCTCTCTTAGCCTGTACTTTTGTGGCCTTCAGCGTCTCATAGCTCCCTCTACCGCCAAAATGCTCTCACGACACAAACAATATTTGAGTTACGAGCAGGACAGATCACCCTTCTTTATGAATTTGGATTTCCTCCCCCAGATATTGATTGTATGCAACTTCCAGCGTAGATATTTTTTACATAATCATCTTTCAGTGGGTAGATATACCATATATATCGCAATGAAGAGAACATGATTTTAAGCAGTCCTTCAATTACAAAGAGATGTAAAACTGAAAAGCAAAGGTATGAAAAAAATAAAACCCCACCAAACAAACCCAACACCCTAAAATCTGGAAACCACACTATTACAAAATTCTGTCTATCTCTAGGCTATTTTGTTTAGATACTAAAGCCTTTAAAAGAGAGAGCGACAAAGAATAATGGCTTGCAATAAGCTATGCGACAGATTCTTCCATTTAAGCTACGCGCACTGGAAAAGCAGACTAAACTGTAAGACAGAAGCCCTATTCGTGGAAGCACTGTTGTAGAGTTTGACCTTCATTATCAGCTGCATGTCATTATTGCTTCTAAATTGCACAGAAATACACTAACAATTACATCTCAAAGGTTTCAGGAAATTGGAGAATGCCATTTTATTTCTTTTAGAGGCTTTACTGGCTGGAATGAAAGCTGTATTAAGTTTCGGAATGTGCTCTCTCTTTCTTCCCCAAGCATGCTGACCCTTTAAGTCTTGCACCCTCCTGGCTCAGCAAGTCGAACTCTAGCCCACCCTCAGTATCAATGCGCTTACCTCTGCCACACCCAGCCCAGTAACACTCTGGCTCACAGTTATGTTGATCTAGGTTACCAGATTTGTTTGACTGATTGGCTATAATAATCAGTAGGGGATTTTTTTGTCAAGTATTTGAGAAATTCTTTTAGTTAATTCTGGATTACATACAAGGCCACAAACTGAAACGTAATGATAATTATTTATTAAAAAAAAAAAAAGATGAGAGCTCAAAAGTATGTAACAACTCCAATTACTGCAGACAGATGCAGTCAGCAGCTGTACTTAAAAAATAAGGAAAAATCTTTAAAGACTCAGTCTCCAATACTTGATATAAGATCATCAATTAAAGGGATAGAGGAGTGGTATAGCTTCGGTAAACAAATACGATCGTTAAATCAGAATGTGAATGAGAGAACCTAGTAAATTTGACTAGGACTTTTGTTTCCTAGGCAGGAATTTCAGAATTACATTATTTTCAAACTAAACAGGAAATTGTTTGCTTTGAGGAAACCTACAATCCACAGTTCCTTTTGCTCAAATGAGGTAATACAGATGGGTATAAGACTTAAAGGGGAAGCATAGTCATTGTTTCCTCCCAAAATCTCTCATATACTTCACCTAACACACATATGCTTAACTGATACTTCCTATATAAAACCAAAGTCAAGTTCATTCTTATTTCTAATGATAGAACTTATTAAGGAAAATAGCCACCCCTAAGTGCACGCTTATGAGAAGTTAAACTGATCAGATACACCTGCTCTGCTTTCTGCAGCAAGTATTGCCTTTTCTCTTTATAGGAGGCTGAAAAGTGTTAATAGCTCGAATGAGGAAGTTTTTTAGTATACTCCTAAGTTTCTGGTCACTCTTCTAGCCACAATGAAAATAGCTGCACTCCCTTCTATACTGAGTGAACTGGCTGGACTGAGGGCAGTACCTTCCAACTATGAGTGGCATCAGGTTGTGCAGCTTAATTTCTCATGCAGCTGTGTGTTGTGTAAATGGAGCACACACTATACACTACCTACATGAACTTCCCCGCGTCTGTTTAGGGTGTACAAGCTCCAACTAACCTTCAAGGATAGGAGTTGTTATCTTAAAACAATTTCAGTTTTCCTAAATTTCTTCACAACAGGATTTCCCAAAAGGTCTTTTAGTTTCTTCCAGAGCATCATCTGCTCTCCAAGAAACCGTGTCAGGAAGAACTTGTGAATGTTTATTTCCACACAAATCCCAGTACAGGTTAACAGAACAAGGCGAACACGGTTTGACAGGACTGACCACCCACGCCCTTGTCTCACCTGGAGCAGCAACCAGTAGCGCCCAGGTACTACCGCAAAAATGTCAGTCACCAGCACAGAGAGAACTTCCACAAGCGTCACTTCTCCCAACACCAGGAGAAGCGGGAGCTCCCTCCATGTCCGGTATCTTTACCACACGAGCCGGGCCT